TCTCATTTAATCACAAAAATTAGGCTCTTGTGACTTCTGGAGAATCTTTAATAGTATCAATAATAAGGGCAAATATGTTATTCCACCTCTCTTATATGGTTCAGACTTTGTCACCTCACCTAAAGATAAAGCTAAATTGTTTGATAAGAACCTTTCATTATATCATCTCCGGATTCCACTAGTAGTGTTCTACCTGATTTTGCCATCAAACAGGTTGATGCATTGCTTGACATTTGTATCATTCCAGCTTCTGTATCTAAAATGATTTTCTGCTTAGGCTCTTCTACCGCTTATGGTCCGGACAACATACCTGTTATAGTCTTGCAAAAGTGTTCTTCGGAACTGTCGTCTAAACAAGTGCTTAACAAGTCGTCTTAACAAGTGCTTATCAGAGTCTTGTTTTCCAGCCTGCTGGAAAGCTGTATCTGTTATCCATATTTTCAAAAATTCTGGAAAGCGATCTGATTCAACTCACTACTGTCCCATTAGTCTTTTTCCTATCATAAGCAAGGTTTTTGAATCTTTAATTAACAAATACTTTATCTCTTATCTTGAATCTAATAACTTACTTTCTGATCATCAATATGGACTTCGATCTTCTTGTTCTATAGCTGATTTACTAACAGTAATAACTGATAGATTTTATAGTGCATTAAATAAAAGTGGAGAGGTTAAGGCCATCGCTCTTGATATTTTTAAAGCTTTTGATAAAGTTTGGCATGCTAGTTTTCTCCATAAGCTTTCTTCTTACAGTGTATCTCGTAACATCTTTAAGATTTTTGAATCCTTCCTTTCTAATCGTATTATAAAAATTGTCCATGATGAACAGCACTTTTCTTCATATTCTGTAACTTTAGGGGTTCCTCAAGGTTCTATCCTTGGCCCTATACTCTTTTTAATTTACATTAACAATCCTCCAGATATTCTCACATCTAAGTTGGCATTGTTTGCTGATGATACTACCATTTATTCTTGTCATGATAAGAAGCTAACTCCCTCTGATTGCGTGGAGGGGGCATTTGAGCTTGAAAAGGATCTCATTTCTGCTACAGCATGGGGGTCACTGGCTGGTGTGTTTTAATTCAGATAAAACTCAATTTTATTCAGCCAAATGTTATCGCAATAATTTAGATATTCCTTTATTTATGAATGGTACTCAATGAGTCATCTACCCTTCATCTTCTGGATTAACTCTTATTTCCAATCTTTCTTGGAAACCATATATCAAATCTGTTGCAAAATTAGCATCTGCTAAAGTTGCATCTCTTTATCGAGCTTGACACTTTCTTACTCCGAATTCTATTCTCAATCTCTATAAATCTCAAATCCGGCCTTGTTTGGAATACTGTTGCCATATCTAGGGGGGATTTTCTAATGATGCCATTTCTCTTTTAGACAAGGTGCAAAAACGCATTGTAAACATAGTTGGACCTGCTCTTGCATGCAAATCTTCAACCATTATCACATCGTTGTAATATTGTTTCTCTTTCTCTTTTCTACAAATTCTTTAATGAGCATTGGTCTTAAGAGCTAGCATTTTTTGTGTCATCTAAAATTCATTCTTGTGTTACTCGTCATTCAATTAAGTTTCATCTTTTTTCTGTGACTGTTCCTAAATGCTCCAAAAACTTTTATTCCTCTAGTTTTGTTCTTCAAACATCAGTTCTTTGGAATTCACTTCCTTCATCTTGCTTTCCTAACTTATATAATTTGCAATCTTTTAATTTGTCTGTCAATCCTTATCTAGCTCTACAATCTTCATCTTTTCTCTTTCAGTAACTTCAAACTCTAATAGTGGTTGCTTACAGCCTTGTTAGAAGCAAAGATGTCAAAAAAATAAAAAATGATTGCCTGTTATATTCTTGCATTGTATCTGAATTTTCACGTCAGTTGTTGTATTCTTTTGTTGGTAAAACTACCATCTATTTCAATTATTGTTTTTCTGTGGCTCTAAAAATTTCCTTAAACATTTCTTCGCATTTTTTTTTTATGTTTTTAAAAAATTATAAGGTCTTAAATGCAATTTTTTGTTTTATGGCTAAACTTTTTTTTGAAACAACTGACTGAGCGTGTTTGTTAAGGAGAACACATGTACTGAACAGCCTAAAGACACAATAAAATCACTTTCTCTAATTGATAATAATAATATTCTTGCTTTTGATGATAATTTTCTGTCATTCCATTTATATATATTGTCCAGTGCATCAATTATTTGTAGAACCTCAACACTAAATGTCAGCAAAGCATAATGTCTTTCAGCCCATCATGTTTTGCATGGAAGCAGTTGTGAATTTAGCATCTTTTTTTAAATAAAATTTCATTTTGCAGAAGCATTGAAAAAAGCAACAACCTTGCTAATAACCCCCAAACAATTTTTTATTGCTTGTACATTCAAACTCTTGAATAAAGTTAAATTTAAAGCACATGAACATCAAACAGCATTTGATTAACTTTTTAAATTTCCACTACCGTTCTTTTTAACAATAACAACATCTACAACCATCCTATCTAAATAAATATACTTACTATTTGTATTTATCCAGATAAATGATTTCGAAAACGTTTTTCTCAATTATTTTTCTTAATGTGAACTGAATGCAGCATTTGGTAGTCAGTTGATAGTTTCCATGGCAATTCTAACAGATTTTTTTTTGAGATATTCTTTTTATGCCTTTCTCTATTTATGTCTTTGTCTTGTAGGTCTGATTTCTCATGTTCAACATGTTGTTTAGCAATACTAATACTAATTTCCAGTGGTGGTGGTGCTAATGCGGTTTTTGAGTTTTTTTAATAGTATTCTTAATAGTAGCAGTAAAACTAGTTGAAGGTATTTCAACAAAAAAAATATTTTTTAGATATTTCTTTTATTGTAAACTGATATTAAACTAATAATACAAAATTGTTTAAAACTACTGATTTTGAAAGTAATTTTTTTTCTACTATTTAATTTAACTGTCATTTAAGTCAATAACATTTGATCAAAAACTTTAATCATTCAATATACTTAAATTCATTGATGTTGCCTGCTGAATAAAAAGCACTGATTTCTATTAAAACAACTATTACATTAATTTAACAGGTTTTTATTAGGTAAATTATTCTTTCAAAATTATAAAGACAATAAGAATAACTGAGATAACTGTAGAGATAATTATTTAAAAGAATTTTAGAGAAAGACAGAAAAAAGCTGAAAAACATTTAAAAAAATAGTCTGTTGTGAAACTAAAAACCTTAATGAATGTTTCTACATTTTGGTTATCCCTAACGTTCAGTTTATTATGTCACTGAATATATTTGAAGCAAGTATTACTAATATCAAATTAATATTAATGTATTAAATGTGTCATTAATAAAAAAACTAAATGAAAAGTAAAATAATAATAAAAAAATGTGTTGCAATGTTTTATTTGCAAAAATAAAAACTGTGGTAAGTATATAAAAAGAAAAAGTTTATTTAAAAGCACAAATTTTTAAATAAATTTATTTATTTAAAAATTTGTGCTTTTAAACTTTCAACATACTACTTAAAAGTGATTCATCTAAGTTGTGCCCAAATAATTTTAAATCAAACTACTGAGATACCAATATATGATTTTTTTTTTCATAGTTACACTGGTTAAAGTAGTTTATTTAGAATTAAAAATTAAAATTTATACAGTAATATATATAAGTATAAGAGTATGGCGGAAATAAAGTAATATTCAAATAAAAATTATATTAAAAAAAATTTGTGGGGTTGCTGAAAAATTGATTGAAAAAAACAGACTGAATAAGAGTTTGTGCAAAAGCTTTAAAGTTTGAAATTTTTTCATCCACATTTGAACAACTGAGTAATGCAAAAGTTAAATGTTTGGTATCCCATGTAAATCTCAGATGTTCAAGTTTATTTTAAAATTTTTTTAATACCGGAAATAGTTGTTGTATTGCTTAGTATATGTGCTTTACCTGAAATCAAAAACTCATTCTTTTTGGCATTCAATATAATACATTTAAAACCACTGCAATCATTGCACGTTTGAACACTGTGAACACTGTCATCATACAATTTAATACAAAACCACTGTTTTCAAATTAAACCACTGTCATCACTGCACATTTTTATAAGCTTTTTGAGACCAGAAAGAGTAAAGCTTAAAAGTATAATACCATCTACATATGTTCTTAGTAAAGTTATCATATATAAATGCGGCAACATTGCCTTAATTTTTAATGATTTCAAGAAAGCTTCTGTGTAGATGTTATAGAGATAAAGTCAAAGAATTAAACCTTATTTAACTCCTTCAAAAAAGAGCTAAATTTTATTAAGGTGCAAAAAGACAAAAAGAGCTAAATTTTATTAAGGTTCCAAAATATTTTTTTCGCCAACCTTCCGAATGTTTAGTGCCCCGCATATATATATATATATATATATATATATATATATATATATATATATATATATATATATATATATATATATATATATATATATATATATATATATATATATATATTTATTTATTTATTTATTCAATATAAAAGGGTTCTGTCAGGGATTCAGTACATACATTGACTGATATGGAATGAACATGCTAGATATTTGCTGCTACATCAAGTGAGGGTTTGGGTTGGGGCAGCAATAAGTTTTTTTTTTATTTTGCTTTATTTTTTTATTCTTTTTGCAAAAAAATTGTTTATATTTAGGTTGATAAAAAAGTTTGTAAACATATATATATGCAAATGTTTTATATATGTTATAGTGTAAATATGATATGAAAATATATACATGAAAAGAAACAAAAATGTTCATTGTTTAAAAAAAAAAATTGAAATTATTTTCGACATGTTCATTTTAATAAATGATTCATTGATACACGCATCATCGATAGAAACATTTATTAAATCTGATATTGTTCAATATAATTTTTATTTAGCGAGATTTTAAAATGATATTAGTATAAATATAATTAGTATAAAATTTGTTAAAAATAATTTTCGGAATAACAATTATATTTCTTAAGTGTTATCTGTACAAGAATCCAACTGGGCAGTCCAGAGTGATATCGACTTTACTTCCTTCTGGTGTTGCAGAAGGTAATTTTTTATTAATATTTTTTAATACATGTTGTGATAAAAGTAAATTAGAAATGTGGATTTGTATTTTTTTTTTTTTTTTTTTTGTGTATTTAAAAATAATATTTCTTATATTATTTTTTTTAAATAATCTTTTTTATTTATTTTTTTTTCTCTTTTATGTATACTATTGTATATACACTATATTATATACACTGCCATTATATCATCTTCATATAAATTTTACATCTTCCCAAGGAGGAAGGCTGCTATGGAAGGAATCTTCTTCTTTATTTAAAAATTGTTCCTCTGAAATGTATTCCTTGACTAGTGAGGTCAAATAATGTGTGGCAAAATTAAAAGTTGAATCGAAAAAATTTATAATTAATTTTTACAAAAAACAGATTTTGTAAAAAGAGATTAAAAAGTTTTAATTTCTCTTTTTACAAAAAACTCTTTTGTTCATCCTCACCTTATTATATAAAATGTCTGCTAAATTATTTTGCGAAAAATAATTATTAAATAATTAAGAAAAAATTTTCCATTAAAGTTATTTGTAGCTTTGTACTGTACTTGCATTCTACCATTAAAGTTATTTGTAGCTTTGTACTGCACTTGCATTGTACCATTAAAGTTATTTGTAGCTTTGTACTGTACTTGCATTGTACCATTAAAGTTATTTGTAGCTTTGTACTGTACTTGCATTGTACCATTAAAGTTATTTGTAGCTTTGCTATAGTGGAAGTTGAATTTTTCACAAATTACAAGTTTGATATTACAAATTACAAGTTTGATATGGGACTTAAAAGTAAAAATATAAAATAAAATTTTTATACTTAAAAAAATTTACAAAAAAATGTCAAAATGAACTTTCACAGTTCAAAGCATATTTTAATGCATCAGCCTAAAATTAATCAGGAATTGATTTTACAATTTAATGCATATACTGTGATATATATTTTTAATTGATTTAATGATCAAAAAAGGAAAAGTTAATGAGAAGTCATTGCCACCTGAAAAGAAGCATTATGCTATTCTAAAGTAAAATAATGTTATTTAATAAAATTCAAATTTCATCCAAAAATCATATGGTAATTAGAAATGGTGGCCATTTAAAATAATAACCCCCTTAGTTTTAGGGGGTTAAATTATAGATTGACTTTAAGTTTAAATAAAATCAACATCAGATTGTGGTAATTACAAAATAATTTGGAAAATCAAAGCCTTTTATTACATACATTTTACTAAATGCATTTAGTCAGTGATTGCTGCTATTTTACCTTCTGCAGAAATTTTCTTGTCTAAAAGAGTCATTTTGAAAAATGCTGAATTATAGACATTTTTGAAGAGGCAACAAAAATATTGTTGTTTAATGATTAGGGATTGCAATCTCAGAGGTTTTTCTCAATCCCGGGATTCCGGAATTGAAAAACATCAATCCCAGGATCCTGGGATTGAAAAACAGTATAAAGTTCATTGTACTTCATATACAATAAATTTTATACAGATTGTATAAATTGTGTTTTATGTGCTTTGAAATGCAACTTGAGGAAGCACAATGCATCCAAACTTTCATCATGCAAATGGTTACGAATTTTTGTATTGAATATCCCAGCAGAATAAAATGTCCATATAATTATTTTATCATAAACTTCAATGGATCTTTGACCTTTACACAAATATTGCAGAAGTCTACCCATATCAGTTGGGCGTTCATGCATATGAACCATTACAGCTGCACACATTTCTTTGCTTGTTTAATTGTCAGCATCTTTTACTTATGCAAAGAATAAAATTAATAGCTATGGTTGTAAGTAGGTTATAATCTTGGTTATAATTGGTTATAATTGGCATGTTCAAAAGTGCTTCAATCACTTCTTTAATGAAAACGTAAGTTGTAATTATCTCTAACAATAAAGTCACTTCATCATGTGATATTTCAGATTTAACAAAATATGATTAAATATTGATCAATTTAAATGGATTTGTTTCTATCTATTTGGTAAATAAACAATACTGCCGAGTAACATGTCCTTTTTATTTACCAATGATGTGATTGTTGAAAAAAAAATTTTAATGGTTTATATTTACAAAATTTTACATAGAAAAACCACATTGCTAACTTATGCAGTAAAATTTCAAAGAGTATATATGTTTATACAAAAAAAAAGAAATAACGTACATTTAACACTTAACGTACATTTTTTTTTCTTAAATTAATTTAATTTTTTTTTTGTTTAACTCATTGTCATTTTATAGAATTATCTTGGACTAAGTAAAAATCAATTAATGATTTTTGTATACAGTTTTTTACTTAACTTTAACTTAGCAGAAGGCTGCTCTGTGTTTTGCTCTCCATCATTAAAGACAGCTGTTTTTCAAATTCAGCCTTAATATACTTTTGTAAGATGTTGTTCTTGGTAGGTGATCGTATAAATATTTGTATCGATTTGCGTATTTTTTTATACTGGCCAATAATGTAATTCATTTAGTTCAGTTTTAGGTCTTACATTTTCATGATTAGTAAATCACCAGTAAATCACCAGTAAATTCACCAGTAAATCTTCCTTAATTTTGTTATTCTTGGATGAATCACTGTCAGAAAGTTAATTTTTAAATTCTGGCTGATGTGCATTGAACTCTTTATATTTATTAAGAACATAATTTGTAGTCAATTTATATCATTTGTCAAAAGACAAAGAAAATCTCTCCTATCCTGAATTCCATTTTTTTTTGTGTGTGCTTTAATTTGGTTAACTAAACTCAATCTTATTTTTTTGCTGTACTCTACTATATGATTACAAATATCGTTTTTGATATTAGCTATTTTCTGAATACCATAGCAGTTAAAGAATATTAAATAAAGTTTTTTAGGGGCCATTAGGTAAGCAAGTGTATCATGAAGTATTTTAAATTTCCTTTAATTTTTTAGTGGTTAATCTGATCTGCTCTCTCTGCAATATTAGGTTAGGTTGGAATTTCGACTTTCACATTATGCATTAATAACATGTGTATATGAAGTCTTTTTGATGTGTGGGAATTTAAACATAAAAAGTATTTCCAAACAGCTTACTTTTAATTGTAAAATTCACATACATCACATTTAATTTTTAATTTATTTAACTAAAAATATTTAATTTTTAATGTTAAGAATGTTACTTTTTTTTCAATTTGAGTAAAGTTTATTTTGCAGAATTACAGAACAGAAGATTTTTGAGAAATTGAGAATTCAGTTTTTTTTTCTTTAAATCAAACCTTTTCATTAACTTTTTTATTGTACAACTAAAAGTACAATTATTTTCTGCAATATTACTAATATATACTAATATATAATACTATGTAAATCATTTTATTGAGTCTGATGTTGTTTTTATACATATTTTCATTAGGCTTTATTTTGTTCAACTTTATAGGGAATCCCGGGATTACTATTAGACAATCCTGAGATTTTTGGTTATAAAAAAGGTCGGAATTTCAGGATCCTGGGATCCCAGGATTGCAAACGCTAGTAATGTTTCTTTTTAGAAACAAGGTCTTTTACTATTCAAAAATTTAAAGATACTATGAAAAACACAGCCTTTTACATCAGTATTGTCTCTGACAGCATACTGCATACATTAACTCTTTTTCTTATGTTTTTAAAATTTTATTGTTTTAGCTAATCATATCACAGCAGGTCAACTTTTGTGTGGTGGTTTATTCAGGTTTTTTTTTTTTAGGAATTATTAGAAATTAAAAGTTTTTTTATGATTATTATTTTTTTAAATTATTTAATTTTTTAAATATTTTTTACATTATTCAAGTTTTTTTTTTTGTTATTATCTTTTTAATTTTATTTTTTTTATAACAAAAATTTTCATGTTTTTTTAAAACCATAAAATTTCTTTAAAATATTTTCCTAGTAATGATAGTTTCTCGAATTGGTGTGCAGCTATGGCTCTGTCTCATGCACTTTTTAGAAACAAAGATCTTAAAGAACAACTTCTTCGTGTTCAATTAGCTACAGGAGTAGGTAATTCCTTATGATTGATTTTAACAATAATTTTTCTTACAATTTTTCTTGTTGACTTGAAATTTTTATTTCATGTGTTTTATTATTTTTAATATTTATTTTTAGTAATAGATTGTTTAATTTAATTCAGGTTATCAACCAGTCTCCCTTCTTCAACAATGTTCAAATATACTTTTAAATGTAAGAAATGTGTTGTTCTGTTGAAAAATAAAATAGATTGCTTTATATTAACTTTAATTAAATTTTTAAGATATTGGTAGAAACCTCAATATTATATTTTAAGCCTATTAAAGCGTGTACACAAAATAAATGTGAAAGAATAAGTACGTCATTTTTTTTCAGTGGTTAGATTAAAATCTTTTTAATTGTTTTGTATTTTGTTTACAACGTGTTGTGGTTTCAAAAATATGTATTAGTTTTTTGATTTAACTTAAAATTAGTTTTAAAAATGACAAAAGAAGACATAAGAAAAAAAATTATGCACAAATATTTTGAAAATCCCAATAGTAGCTACAGTTTGATAGCAAAAGCGTTGCAAATACATCCATACACCGTTATTTGTGTAATCCAACATTTTTCTCAAACAAAATCGATCAAACATAAATCTGGTGGTGGAAGAAAGAAGGGTTTTGAAGATAAAAAACTAGTTAGAAAACTGGTTAACAGTTTTAAGACTAACCCAAGTCTTTCACTAAGGGAGCGCGCAAACATTTATAGACTTTCTCATAGTTTTGTTGTAAAAGTTCGAAATAAACACGGTTTTCATTCTTTCAAAGCACAAAAAGTGCCTAACTGATCTGAAGCTGTGCAAAAAAGTGCAAAAACCGGCTGCAGAAAGTTGTATGACAATTTTATTTCTAAAAATTTCTGTATTATTGAAGACGATGAAGCTTATATCAAGTACGATCATTAGCAAATTCCTGGTGCCGTCTATTATATTGCTAAATATAGAGGAAAAGCAGATTTAAATTTAAAAGAAATTTAAATACATAAAACACGACAAGTTTGCTAAAAAAAAATTTATTTGGCAAGCTATTTGCAGTTGTGGCAAAAAATCAGCACCTTAAATTTCTCAGTCCACACTTTCGGGTCAAATATATGTTAAAGAGTGTTTACAAAAATTTGTAAACACTCTTTAACATTTATTTGACCTTTTACCTCTCATTAAATCACACGATAAGAGACCTTTGTTCTGGCCAGATTTAGCTTCAATTCATTATTGTAAACCAGCTTTGGAATGGTATAAAAACAATAATGTGAAATTTGTGCCTAAAACAGAAAATCCTCCAAAGTGCCCAGAATTAAGAGTTATTGAAAAGTACTGGGTCATCATTAAAAGAAAAATGAAAATAACAAAAAAAACTTTGCAGAAATATTAAAGATATTAAAATATCATTTAAAAAATCATCAAATGGCTTTGATTCTTATTCTGTGCACAAGCTTATGGGTACCACCAAAGCAAAAGTTTGAAATTTTATTTCCCACAGGAATAATTTGATTTTTTTTTTATATTTGATCTTCTTATATTATTGTATTAAAGTTATTACTTGGTTAGAAATAAAAATTGAAGAGTACTTTTTTTTTAGTTATTTTTTTACTTTCACATTTATTTCGTGTACACGCTTTACCCTTATCCACTTTTAAATTTAAATACTTTTACCCTTTCCTTTCTGTTTACATTAAAAATTGGAGTTTTTATTTCTGAGTATTTTTTAAGTAAGTTGTAAATCAAATATATATATATATATATATATATATATATATATATATATATATATATATATATATATATATATATATATATATATATATATATATATATATATATTTGATTAGGATAACACAATATAAGAAAAAGGTGTATTTCACCATTATTTTTTACCTTTTGTTATAAGTAATTTTTCCTAAATAATAAGTAGTTTCATATATATATATATATATATATATATATATATATATATATATATATATATATATATATATATATATATATATGTATATATACATATATATATATATATATATATATATATATGTATATATATATATGTATATATATATATATATATATATATGTGTATATATATATATATGTATATATATATATATATATATATATATATATATATATATATATATATATAATTGGTTGTTGTGTATAAATATATTTTAGGGAGGATGTTATTTATGAATATATTTTAGGGAGGATCAAGTTCACAAACACGCATTGCAATATTGTCTTTGCTATGTAGTTGGTTGACAAACTGTCCAATTGCAGTTGCTCATTTTCTTAGTAATTCAGCTATAATTCCTTTTGTATCTTTTCTTTTTTTTTTTTTTTTTTTTTGTGAAGGATTGTTAAGATTCAAAATATATGCATTCATTTTATTATTTTTATTTTTTTTTAAATAAAAATAATTAAATGAATTTTTTTTAAATAAAAAAAAATAAAAAATCATTGAATCAATGATATTTTTGAATTATAGAAAGTTGACTTTTTATGGTGACATGACACTGTAACTTAGCAACTAATTAAATTATGGAGATTTTTGGATTAAAGAGATTCCAATTATGGAGGTTTTCAAATTAAGGAGATTGGAAATATAGGAGTTCTTGAATTAATGAGGTTCGAATTACAGAAGATTTTGAATTAAGAAAATTCATATTAGATTTTATTGTATTTTTAAGAAGTGGAAGTAGTTTGAATAACTTTAAGAGAAAAAGACTATATGAAATTTAAGTTTGTTGCATAAAAAATATTTTTTGGCATTAAAAATTAATAAGTCACATTTACATTAAAAAGTAATAAGTAATAGTATTTTTTTTTTGTGTGTGTTAACCTCCCCAAGATGGCAACTACAAATATTATATGTTGTAATATATATATATATATATATATATATATAAACATTATATGTTGTAATATATATATATATATATATATATATATATATATATATATATATATATATATATATATATATATATATATATATATATATATATATATATATATATATATATATATATAAACATATGTTGTAATATATATATATATATACATATATATATATATATATATATATATATATATATATATATATATATATATATATATATATATATATATATATATATATATATATATATATATATATATATATATATATATATATATATATATATATATATATATATATATATATATATATATATATATATATATATGTATATATAGTCTGTGTGTATTTATATTTTATATCAGTATACTAAGGCAAAGGTTCCTTAACATCTTCAGTTATTTTCTTGCATTGAACAACCATGTGAAATGCATGAATCTGTTATCCAAGGATTGTCTGCTGTATTGGTTGGTGTTTGCATTATATACAATGATGGCAACAATGAAAAATTTACGAGGTCAATTTTTAGATGGTTTGATATTATATACTAGGGCTCAGGAAACATTCTAGTTCTGTTTCTTAGTTAATTTAGTCAATTGGTTGAATTGTTAGTTTTATTGATTGGTTGGCTTGCATGATTTATTTCATTGAAAAGTTGATTAATTCTTAAATAAAATTTTTTGTATTAGTGATTCAATAAAAAGACTGATAACTACTCGACTTGATCCTGAACATTTTTTAACCAAAATTAATGATGTTTCAAAATCAGAACTTTTTACAACTGCTGCTAAGCATACTCAAGTATATATTTTTTTGTTGTTGTAAAAAGCTTTTGTTTACTTTTCTTTTTTTTCTGATACCACCAAAACATTTTTTTGTGGTATGTTATGGTTTGGTTCATTATGTCGTTCATCTATTCATTCATTATGTCCTTCATCTGTTCATTCATTAACATTTTTATTCTTTAGACCTTTTTCTTTTTAGATTCAAGAAGTAAAATCAGATAGAGTACTATTCGACCATGAGTTCACAAAACAGTTTAAAAAATTAGAAGGTATTCGTTTGATATTAATATTCTATTTTTTTCTATCGATTAAATATGACCAAAATGAAAATATCTAAAACTATTTGAAATTATATTAAAACTTTAAAATTAGATACACACGCATCTATATGTGCATCATATCTCTGTGTCTAGATGCACCATACTATTGTATCTTTGTACGCATCATGTAAATGCATCTAGACAATACACATGTATCTAGATATGATGTACACATATATCTGCTAGATACTATATACATATTTATCTATATACACTGTGGATCTGTATTTTTGGCATGTATTAACAGAAATATAGCAAAAGAAGTCAGTGAAAACCTTTTTTTATAAGTTTTTATCATATTTCTTTCTTTTAAGAAATATTTCATACAGGAGAAAGCTTTTAAACTCTGATATAATAATTTATGAAAATAATGAAATAAATAAAATAATAATTTTAAAAATTATATCCTTTAACTTGTTTTAAAATATTCTGTGATTAAAACTCTGCAGACACTGTGAAAGTGAAACACGTGAGACACTGTGAAATGTGAAACACGTGAGGCACTGTGAAATGAAAACATATAATACACTTAGAAATTAAATTCAGTTATCTTATTTACACACCAGGTCTAGAAAATAAAAATGAATAGTGTTAAAAATAAAAATTTTAAAAATTGAGTTTAATTTTCCCATTATTAAGTAGAGAGTTTTGCTTTTGTAACAAATCTTTCAAGCTGTTTTTTTTTTTTAATGGGTAAAAATATTTGCACAAAAAGTAACAAAATGTCTTTTTCACCTTATTTACTGTAAGCAACTTGGTGTGTTTTCCAAATTTAAGTTTTTACTATAACTTTTTTGAATTATAATTTACGATAATTAACTGATCAGTGTCAGCGTTTTTTTTTTTGCTAATTTTGATAACAAAATTTTGATAACAAACATTTAATGGTGTTGATAGATTATTGGGTTTCATCACTATTTTTATTTGTTTAATTTAATTTAAATAGTTTAAATTTAAATAGTTATATTTTTTCATATAAAGCTTTTGATTTAAGCTTTTCTTTAACTGAAGGTAAAATAAGATTTTTTCACCCCTTTATCTGAAATTTTGAAGTTTTTAAATTAGACAATTTTTTGGTTAAATTTGGTAGTTATTTTACTTTGGCAAGTATTTGTTCAACATTGCTTGAGCAAAAGATATCACTGTCATTTGTTGAGGTATTAGTTAAAGTGAAGACTTGTCATCTATGATGCTTGATTTTCCTTGTAGTTACTGATTGAGTTTTTGATTTTTTTATAATTTTTCTATATACATTTTTTTAAACATCAATTGGAATATTGAAAAGAAAGTTTGGTTAGTTTTTATTTATTTTGAATTTATAAAAACTAAAGTAAAATGAAAAATGAAAATCAAGTTTTTAGCAAATTTTTAGTGTTTCATATTATAGTTGTGTGCTAGTCTTCTTTTTTAACAAATACATAATTAAGGCTGATTCGTAATGCAAATTTTTAACAAATATATAACTAACATGATGAAATGCTGAATTATCTCAGAGATGATTTATCACAGATCATTTTTTCTATTTTTAGCATTTGGTTTTGACTTCATTTGCTAAAAAATGTGATAACACATTAAAAAAATTATTTTCTGTATTTGTTTACTGTATTTGTAATTATGTACTGTATTTTATTTATTTTTTTTTTTTTTATTTAATTCACCTCCTTAAGGCCGAGAAGTCCACTACAGATGAGGAGGCTACTTATTTGTGGTTATAACCCTCTCTCAACTCTATAACTCCGAAACACGAACTTTGATGAATAAGGCCGCTGCGCGGAGAAATGAGTTGAGCACGGTACTACCAGGGACATGGTGGGAATCAAATTTGGAACCACTCGTTTATGAAGCGAGCGCTCTACCACTACACCACTACCGTATTTACTGTATTGTTCTGTTCTATTTATCTCCTTTTAAAAAAAAACTGTTATTACAACTGTAATAAATAAAAATGGATATAACTACCTTGTACCAAGAACATAGTAGAGATTAAACTTGGTACTATTATGGTTGTTTAGAAATTTTGATAATTGCTTAAGGGGTTCCTCAAAGTCCAAAAATGCTTGAAGGTTCCTAATATAATAATGAAAATTCATATTTAAAATTCAGAAATGTCAATCTGAATCAAAAGTAAAGAAATAGCAAAAAAAATTCAAAAAATAGTATTTATTTTATATTAAAAAACATTTTGATTTAGAATAAAAATAATTTTTTAAACTTGTATGATTTATGTTAACATACTTTTAAAGAATTTTATGTATGCGTTACCAATCAAATGCTTACCATCAAATGAGTTTTTATATGTGTGTTAGCGACCCATTAAATGTTTATTATAAAATGATTCTTTTTAGGATCTATAGGGAAATCAAATTTTGTACCAGTACCACGTTTTGAATAGTAGAATGGGAAAAAACTTTTTTATGTTCTGAAAAAAATTAGCAAAATGCACAACATTTAAAATTAGCAAAGTGGGCAGTCTTGAAGCATTATGCACTACCCCACTACTGTTTTCACTAGAAAATCAGCTTCAGTTCAATTTTTATTTTATACCATGTTTTTCTCTTTTTCTCTAATGTTTCTTTATCTTTACAAGGTATTGATGCGGAAAAGGTATTTTCTAACACTAAGTTCCATTATTCTCAAAAAAATAAACAAAAAAAAAACTCAAAAATAAACTCAAAATGCTAAATGAACTTTAATTCTTATGAAATTATTTAACTGAATCTTTTTTTCCTGCCTGCTGGAAAATTATGTTTGTGGTTTCGATTTTTAAAAATTCTGAAGGTTGCTCTCACCCCTTTATCTCCCAACTAGACTTTTAACTATTTTGCCATCTCCCAATATTTTACTACTATTAATAAGCTCTTTGAGTCATTAGTTATCAAACTTCTGATATCTTGAGTTTTAGATTAATACAGACTTTAATGTATACTTTTATTCTACTGTTAAATTGTTAACTGTTAGGTTTATTGTTAACAGAAAGATTTTATTGTGCATTAGATGGAAGCAGAGAAGCAAGGGTTAATGTTTTTGACATATCAAAGGCTTTTGATAAAGTCTGTCATGCTAGTCTTCTCCATAAGCTCTCTTCATATAGTGTATCTGGGAGAGGATTTTTAAATTATTGAATTATTTCCTTCTAACTGCAGTGCTAAATTTTTTCTTGAAGGAAATTTTCAGTGCCATCTGGGGTAATACAAGGTTCCATGCTTGATTCTGAGTTCCTCATCTGTATTAATAATCATTCAGATAAAGCTTGGTGACACAACTATATCTTTTATTGCTGATGACACAACTATATACTTTAGTCATGAAGAAACTCATCAATTTTTGGTTGCTTACAACAGGTAGTTGATCTTGACTGTGATCTCTCTTCTGTGACAGCTTGGGCTTTGTAGTGGCCCTTGCAGTGTGAATTTTAATCCAAACAAAATTCAGTTGATTTCTGCTGATAATTATTGGAGTTTTGTTGATAATTTTTTAGATTTCTATATTTAGTACTCTACTTATGTTTATTATTATTGTTTATTACTTATTATCTCTCATAGAATATTATTTAAATTTTCTTAAAAAGTTAACATAGGTAACATAAGAAACAAAGTTTTTCAAAAATTTAAAAAAGTAATAATAATTTATAAAAACATCTCCAAAAAAATTATTAGAAAAAACCATAAATGCATACATTTTTTTATATATAATTTATTTTGTATAATATAAGAAAACCTTTTTGTTTTTATTCAATAAAATTTAATATAATATCATGTAAAATTATATAATTACAGGGGTGGGACCGCAAAATGTGAACGTTTTTGTTTTATTATAACTATTTTCTTGTTAGATGTAGTTGTACTCTCTCACTCATCAGAAAGTGTCTAAAGAGTTGGTCTAAACGTTGTAAAATGATCTACGAGAATCAAGGAGGTCAAATTGAACATTTAAAATAGTTCATATTTAACAGAAAATTAATTATTACAATCAGAAAAGTGTTCACATTTTGCGGTCCCACCCCTGTAATGTAAAAAAAATTTTTTTTAATTTTTCAAAAATTTTCTTATAAAACAAACAATCAAAAAGCAGTCTTTATGTGCAGAAAGTTTCAGGCACTTAACGAGTTCTTAATTATACTATTTTGTTTGTGATTCCTTAATGTGTACTTCTCGCACATCCTGTATGTATAATAATTATAATTATTATTAATATTATTATTATACATTATTATATTATAATTATTTTTGTATATATATAAAACAATAATAGAAATAATAGCAATGTATATTAATTTTATATATCTTAAAAAACAACTAATTTTATATCCAACTTTATATATCTTATAAAACAGTAAAATAGTTACCAAAAAGTATTTTCATAAAAGAAAAAACCCCTCTAATATAACTGCAAATAAAAAAAAACAAATTAAGTAACTGTGATGTTCAACTCCTAATGTAATATCTGATGTTCAACTCTTTCTCTTGCCTCTTATTCTCAGTGAGATAGGTGGTATGAACTTTCTTGTTAAACAGCCTTCTGTGGTGCTCTGGGATAAGATTGATAGGTCTTTATGGAGAGCTTTAACTAAAAAAAAATATAATGATAATGTGCTAAAACTCGTAAGGCTTTCAGATAAGAACTTGAAAAAAAAGTTTAAACCAATAGTTATCTTGTTATCTACAAACTCACTTGCTCATGTGGAACTGTTTACATTAAAAGATACAAAAAAAAAAAAGAAAGGAAATGTATTGAACATCAAAATAACATTTGAAGACTAAATGGATATGGATAATGAATAATGGTGTCATATTTGATTGTACACTCACAAAGAGAAAAGTTGGTTATTAATACCTAAAACAAAAAAGCAAGTTGTTAGTGCCTAAAACAAGTTAGTATGCAGCTATGACTTTATACCTGATTTTATTTATTGGGATTTTAGTTTAGTTAAAAGTAAGAATTTTGATAAAATAAAGTCTGAAAGTCTACTTTAACAGCTAAACTGGTACTCATTAGGAATACTGTGTTTTTAAAACTTTTAAAATATAGTATTTTAATATGTGATGGATTCATAATTTTTCAGAAACATTTAAGTACCAAATCATAATACTGATAACCAGTGGTAAAATTTATAGAGACATATTTACATAAATTTATACTGTGCATAATCTGTTTTTTATTTAAAGTGAGTATTTCAAAATCTATATCTGAAGATGATGATGCAGATGATAAATTTAAAACATCTCAGACAAATGAAAGTGTTGTGATGTCATACAAAGTTTTAATTAGAGAGCAGGTAATTTTATTTTTTATTTGTTTAATTAAAAAATATATATATTAATTGTCTGATATACAGGGGTGGGACCGCAAAATGTGAACACTTTTCTGATTGTAATAATTAATTTTCTGTTAAATATGAACTATTTTAAATGTTCAATTTGACCTCCTTGATTCTCGTAGATCATTTTACAACGTTTAGACCAACTCTTTAGACACTTTCTGATGAGTGAGAGAGTACAACTACATCTAACAAGAAAATAGTTATAATAAAACAAAAACGTTCACATTTTGCGGTCCCACCCCTGTATATTTTTTAATTTTTTTGAATTTTTTAAAATTGTGTACTATTTTTATGAATTTTTTAATATTCTGTACTATTTTCTAATTATTATGTTAATCAAAGTAATAGTATAATTTATAATTATTATTTATAAAAAAATTTTGTTTTAGGATGTGGAATTAGGAAAACTAAGAACACAATGCAAAGAACTGCAAGAAAATTTTAATGATGTAGAAATATTTTCTAAATGCTAAATCTTTTTTTATTAATTTTTTTTTAATGATTTATTATTTTTACTTATATTTAACTTTTACATGTATATTTCAACTTATGGTTTATAAAATATGCTCTATACATTTTAACATATGATCTTTAATATATGTTATGCACATTTTAACATATTTCTTTAATATATCCTATGTACGTATGACTTTTTTATTTTATTTTTTCTATTGGTTTCGATAACACTTTAGGCACAGCGTCAACTTGAACGGCAAGCAATAGAACTTGTTCAAATAAGAAATCAAGTAGCTATTATGAAAGGTAATTTTTATACTATAAATTTAC